TGCTAATGAGTTCCCCGAGCTCTTTTTCTACGAAATGACCCCTGGATTTGAATATGTAAAAATATGGAGGCGAGGGCTAGAATTTGGTAGATATGTAGCTGCTTCAGGTTCTGAAAAGTAGGAAGAAATAATACAAACAATATATGAATCCTGGGCTTCCTAAGTTCTCTTTTAATATTATGCTGTTCCTCACATAATAATAATGATAGCTCACTGCCTATGGTTCTCCTCTCATGCTTTTTAAATTTCATGACCCCCTTCCAGGGTAGGCTACAGTAAGAGAAAATGACTGGGCCAAGGTCACCAAGCGAATATCATAGCCAAGCAGGGATCTGGCCTGAGATCTAGTTTGATGCAACGCAGGAGAGGGTTTGAGCAGGTGGAGATTCTTATGCCAGGTGGGCTAAAATACCAACTTTTATGGAGCCCTTGAAAGGCTCGGTTGCTGTAAGACTTCACGTGAAGTATCGTCTTTTGTGGACATATTTGCAAGGTGGTTAGGTAAACAGCTGCCCTGCAGCATCCTGTTGCGCAGAGATCACGAAAGGGATTTGACATGGGAAATTGTAAGTGGGTGACCTTCCGACTTCTTTTGTCTTGCTCTCACAGCAGAAAGAGATTTCTCAGGGGGTGCAGATCAGCACTACTTCCCAAAGGAGTGGAAACAGCCGTTCTGCGTAAGAATCAGCTCATGGAGTGGAGAAAGGAATGGACTGGGTCCCCCCTTTTTTCTGAAGGGTGCCTTTCTGCTAGCACAGGATGTCAAAGCAAGGTAGGTTGTGAACTTCACTCCTTTTTCTCACTTGAAGCATTGGAAGGTTTTTTTTTTTTAAAAACACCTCCATACAAGCCAACCTGTGGTTAGCCAAAGCTTCCTCCTTCTTGCAGGGCCATGTATCATTTCAGGAGGTGGCCGTGTATTTCACAGAGGAGGAGTGGGCTTTGCTGGATCCTGGCCAAAGAGCTCTTTACAGGGAAGTCATGATGGAAAATTACCAAAGCATGGCCTCTATGGGTAAGCAAGTAGCTGGGTGTGTGGGTCGGGATAGTTAAAGTGTGTAGAGAATTCTCTGGAAGAGATTCCTGTCTACTCTTCATCTCTCTTTTCTTAAAGTTCAGCTCATTAAGTTCACTGGAGAATTAATGATTGTTAACTTAGCCAGTCTCAAAGATGTAACCAGTAGGGATGGGCACAAACTGGCTCAGCTGTTAGGTTCAAATGGGTGCCAGCCACTTAACCCTTTGGTTTTGAATGGCTATCAGTGGTTGGGAGAAAGGGGGAACTGAATTTGTTGGTTTGGTTTGAGTGGGGCCTGTTCGGGGGCTGCTTCAAACCCCAAACCAAACCACCTTTTTTAGTTTTGTGCCCACCCCTAGTAACCAGTCTGTTTGTGCTCCTTATCTTTTCAAGAAGGCTCTTGGATCTGCAAACCTGCCCTCATTTCCTGGTTGGAAGATATGGATGAGATATTTGTCCAAGACTCTGAGGAAGCAAAGAACTCAAAAGGTACTACCTTAGACCTTTGTGTCGAGGTTTGCGCAGTGCTAGCCCACTGCAAGATGGATGAGATGTTCATCCAAGACTCTGAGGAAGCAAAGAACACAACAGGTACTTCCTTAGACCTTGGGAACAGCCCTTCAGTGTTGTCGAATTGTGGTTCTAATTTGATAGCACCCAGAATATATTCATCATTCTGCCTCTGGGTTTTCCTGGCAGCCATCTCTGTGGCTTCATCCCCTCATGCCTTGATTTAAAGCCTGTTTCCTTCAGCGCTGGTTGCTTTTGAGGCCTACTTGTTTAAAGTCATGACTGACTTACATTTTTCTTTCTTAGATTCTCTTTCTGGCTGGAATAAGGAATCTCCCTTTGTTTCTGCCAAAGAAGACATAACCGCGAGAGAGAAGAGGGTGAAGAGACTTTCACAGGAAGGCTTTGCCTCAGAAGAAATGCCAGAGTCTTTCCTGGAGCCATTTCCAGAGATAATTGTCATCCTGGAAGATCTGACTGAGAGTAAGTTTTTTTTTTATGGCCTTTTCAGGAAAACAGACCAGGTGTAACCTGAGAGGATATCTGCAGTGTGAGAGAGGTGTTATGCTGAAGGACCCACAGTATCAGCAGGTGACCCTTTTAGAAACCAAAACAAGACAGTGTGGTGTGGTGGTTCATGTGCTGAAATGAGATTGAAAAGACCCAGATTTAGGTCTGGTTTCGGACATAAAGCTGACTGGGTCATTCTCCTCAGCCTCTAACCTACCTCTCATGAGAATGATGCACATTGTCCTGAGCTTCTTGGAGGAATGGGGGAATGAAAATGTTTTAGTAATTTATTTATTTTATTTTATTTATTGGGATTTTTACCCCGCCCTCCCTGCGAAACAGGGAGGGCGGGGTAAAATATTATAGATACCGTTCTGCAGTCTCCTGTGTTAACAGGCCCCTTAAGAAATCTCAGTGTCCTCTATTTTCATTTGGAAAAAACATGATTCTACACCTTCACCTACAAGTTTACTATTGCCCGAGTTATGACCTTGCTGGGGGTCAGGCAGGGGGTCAGACTCTATACTGCAAGTGCTCACAGATCATTGGAGGACTGGCTGGTTTTCAGGTGGAGGGAAGAGAGGAGGAGAGCTTTTCGGGGGGGGGGCGGGTAGAGGTCTGACCCCACCTGATCTAAAGAAGGCATCTTATAGTTGCTGAGTGACTTCATTTCACTCACCTGCTGCTCTTTACATCAAAGACTGGCAGGAGGAATGTTGTCCCTGCGCTCTAAACATTCCACACTAGCAGCATGTCCTTCCAAAAGTCAGCAAAAACATTTTTTCTGTAGAGGGTTGCAATCCAGCCAGTGGGATTCCACAACCTACCTGATGTTTGTAATCCATGGCTCACCACAATAGAGGGAGACAAAAATCTTCTGCACATAAGTGTGGATGGGTGCTCCATTTCTACCGAGTGGATTTGTAGATCCTGAGTAGACGACTACCGAGGCATCCCTCATCTGCCTTCATCTGAAGGCAGGGAAGTGTGGCTCTTGGAGTTGTCTGTACGGGAAAAGTGGCAGGATTGGGAAGCCCCTTGAGTGTGACAGGAAGGAAGAAAAGAGCCAGTGAAAGACAGGGCTGCTCGAATGGAAGTTTTGAATAGTTTCTTACAAGGAAATAATTCCTGTCTCATAAAAGGTGTGAAATCAAAATGTAGGTAGGTGTCCTTTTTCTCACCATTTGCAGTGTGTAAAGAAATAAAGCAGTATATTTTGTTATATGGCTCCATTTCTTCTTGGAACTGAAATGGAATCCTTTCTTTCAGCTCTGTTCCCCTTTAAACATTTTATTTATTTATTTATTTGTTAAATTTATATCCCGCCCTCCCCCGTAGGGCTCAGGGCGGCTTACATAGCAAAAACTTGCTCATAAAACATCGAGTACTATAATACAATTTAAAACCATAATATACAATTTAAAAACCTAAACAGATAATAAAGTGCTCAAACTACTCAGCATCCATACTACAACATCAGAGAGGGCACCACATATCAAACATCCCTTCGTAGGCATAGTATAAAAGATGTTATAATCAGATGTTCCACCGATGTTCCTCCTAATCTTTCATAGTTAATAGGAGTAGAAAAGAACAAGAGTCCAGTAGCACCCTAAAGACTAACAAAATATATGGCAGGGTGTGAGCTTTCTTGAATCACTGCCCTTCAGATACAGGGACTAATTAGAGGCTTCTTCGGGCCTATCAAAAAATCTGTACACTAAGGACAGTTTTGGCTATGAGATGGTTATTCTGTGGGGTGCTTACTGTGTTTTTCTTTGTATTCCAGCAGGAGATAAGAAGAAACAAAGTGCTGCTGACCATCCGAGAAGACACAGGGATTTGCAGGAGGGAAAAGAATCTTGGAATAGAAGAAGACAAAATAGAAGTAAGAAGGCAGAAAACCAGAAGCAGATGAGAAAATCAGTTTCTTTTCGCAGGAGGGATTGCCCTGAAATCCTAGTCATAGAAAATTTACAAAAGGGAAGAAGAAGGAGTAAAAGCCGTCAGAGTGAGAAAGGGTCTGGGAACAAGTCGAGTCCTAAGAGAGATCAGAGAATTCCCGCAAGGGAGAAACCATATGAATGCTTGGAGTGTGGAAGGAGCTTCATTCGGAAGGCCAGTTTAGCTTCACACCAGAGGATTCACACTGGAGAGAAACCATATGAATGCTTGGAGTGTGGAAAGAATCTTAGCTGTAGCAAAAGACTTACTATTCACCAGAGGACTCACAGAGAGGAGAAACCGTATGAATGCTTGGAGTGTGGAAAGGGCTTCAGTCGGAAGGCCAATTTAGCTTCACACCAAAGGATTCACACTGGAAAGAAACCATATGAATGCACGGTGTGTGGAAAGAGTCTTAGATGTAGCAAAAGCCTTACTATTCACCAGAGGACTCACACAGGGGAGAAACCATATAAATGCTTGGAGTGTGGAAAAAAATTCAGTTCCTTCAGGTACCTAAAGGTTCACCAAAAGTTTCACACAGGGGAGAAACTATATAAATGCTTGGAGTGTGGGAAGAACTTTAGTCAGAGCACAGCCCTTACTTACCACCAGACAGTGCACACAGGGGAGAAACCGTATGAATGCTTGGAGTGTGGAAGGAGCTTCAGTCGAAGGTACAATTTAGCTTCACACCAGAGGATTCACACAGGGGAGAAACCATATAAATGCTTGGAGTGTGGAAAGAGTCTTAGTTGTAGCAAAAGACTTACTATTCACCGGAGGATTCACACAGGGGAGAAACCATATAAATGCTTGGAGTGCAGAAAGAGTTTCGGTTGCTTCAGATACCTAAAGGTTCACCAAAGGATTCACACAGGGGAGAAACCTTATAAATGCTTGGAGTGTGGGAAGAACTTTAGTCAGCGCACAGGCCTTACTTATCATCAGAGGGTGCACACAGGGGAGAAACCATATGCATGCCTGGAGTGTGGTAGAAGATTCAATCGGATGGACAAGCTCAATTGTCATAGAAGGACACACACGGGATAAATTGTACATATGCTTAGTATGTGAAAAGAGCATCAGTCATAGCTCAAACCTTATTGTTCACTACAGACTCCACACAAAAGAGACACCATATAAATGAAGATTTCCCCAGTAATGTGGTAGTCACTGCTTTCATCTTTTTCACATCCTCGCATCAGAAAGTCCATTGTATTAGTCAGTGCAGTGTAATGGTTGGAGTGTTGGACAAGAATCAAGGAGACGTGTTCAAATCCTCAATCTGCCATGGAATCTTGTTGGGTGAATCTTGCTACAGACGCACACTGTCAGCCAAACCTACTTCACAGGGTTGTTAGGATAAAATGGGGTAAGAAGAGAACAATTTTAAGTCACTTTGGGTCCCCATTGAGTAGAAAAGCGGGGTATAAATAAAACACATGATTGTAAGCAAGTCTTTTTCAGTAAATCAAGCCTGATTTTAGTCTTGAGAGAGCCCATTACTGTGCCAGAACCTTGAGTTAAGCAAATATAAATGCCTGCTCCGTGTGTCAAAATGTAAGGAATGTTTCTTGGTTCTTTTCATAATTTTTTTAATCCTAGCTTCCTTGTTTCAACTAGGTACATTGATAGTTGATTTCCTTTCTTTGCAGTCTGGAAATCCGCTGTGGTAGCAGGAGTTAGAATGTTTGTTGATGGGCCAGGATCAGGCCACAGTACCCCACGGTTCTGTACCCTTTAACGTGGTGTGCACTGCCCTTCACAATGCCAGCCTAAAGCAGTTCCCAAGTTCTGATTCCTGGTTCCTTATTTGTGAATCCATCCACAGATATTAATGAAATGTAAATAAGCCCCCCCCCCGATTTTAACTAGCCTGAACCATACATCCAAGGACTCTGGGAACTGTGGCCTGCAAGGTGGCGTACACTGGTGCCTTCCAGTGGACTGATATCGGGAGGGGGGGTGCAAGATTGGGCCAACTGTGGAGTAGGGCGTGGTATAAATTAAATAAATAAATAAAAGCTGCTTCTGGGTTGCAACTGCTCTATGTTCTTTAATCTACCTTTTTGTGCCAGAACTAGGGTTTGGTCTTAAGAAGAGTCTGCATTCCCTTGTTAGGGGCCCAGTCCCCAGCGACTGGTGGTGTATGATTGAAGGTGGTCCAAAGGCATGACCACTTTTTCTATGGGGTAGTCAAATCTAATATCAAGGTGTGTCATGTCATCCCTTCAGACAGTAAAGGGTTAAACTGAAGTTTCTGTAAGCTGATAGTAGCAGGTTTAGCATAGGGCCAATTAGTTGTAGAGAAGAATCTTCCCATCAGAAGAGGGGAGGTTTTATTCTTAATGAGGTGGCCCTTAAGATTGACTATTGGCTAATCAGTATATTGGAGATAGTTTGTGCCATTTTGCATTTATGCAAATGGTGGATTTTTGGGGGATAAACTTCCTTGCCTTTGTTCTTGGGGTCACAGCAGGCACTCACACACACAAAGTGTGAGAGGAACAAAGAAACAAAGATGGGCTACGGTCACACAAACTAAATAATTCACTTTCATAGAGGTGGTTTCGTAGAAAAAGAGGTCATGAGCTCATTAGCATAACATTTGCATATGCCACACCCCCTGACATCACCGGAAGTGTGTCAGAAGGCAACACCCACTGCTCAGGCTCCCCTGGACTGTTTTGAATTGCTAGCGGGGGTGTGTGTGTGTGCGCGCAGATCTGCCATCACAGAGGAGGGAGAGCTTGTACATGAATAAACCTTGGCCTTAAAGGTGCCACTGGACTGTTTTGAATTGCTAGCGGGGGTGTGTGTGTGTGCGCGCAGATCTGCCATCACAGAGGAGGGAGAGCTTGTACCTGAATAAAACCTGGTCTTAAAGCTGCCTCTGGACTGTTTTGGATTGCTATCTATGGGGGGGGAATGCACAGATCTATGCAGGAAGGAAGGAAGGAAAGAGGGAAAG